GAATTCACAGATCCCAGGCACGGGGAAGATGATCTGCTCCATGCTCCGGTCCAGCCGCACGATCTGCGGGAATTGGGACAGGGAATCCTCAGATCCCACCCTGGTGGGGATTTTTTCTTCCTTCCCAGACCCAGCTGCGCCTTCCTCTCCTTCCTCCCACTCCAAGGGATCCACATATGCGTAAGGACATAATGTGTTTATGTACAGCACATAATGTTGGTAAGTACAGCAAAAAATGTGTGTAAACCCAGAGGAAAACGTGTAAATACAAAGGAAAATGTGTGTAAATCCAGAGGAAAATGTGTGTAAAACCAGAGGAAAATGTGTGTAAATACAAAAGAAAATGTGTGTAAATACAAAGGAAAATATGTGTAAATACAAAGGAAAATGTGTGTAAGTACAGAAAAAAATGTGTATAAATCCAGAGGAAAATGTGTGTAAGTACAAAGGAAAATGTGTGTAAATACAGAAAAAAATGTGTGTAAATCCAGAGGAAAATGTGTATAAGTACAAAGGAAAATGTGTGTAAGTCCAGAGAAAAATGTGTGTAAGTCCAGAGAAAAATGTGCGCCAATCCAGAGGAAAAGGTGTGTAGGTACAGCAAAAAATGTGTGTGAATCCAGAGGAAAATGTGTGTAAATACAAAGGAAATTGTGTGTAAGTACAGAGAAAAATGTGTGTAAATCCAGAGGAAAATCTGTGTAAATACAAAGGAAAATGTGTGTAAATACAAAAGAAAATGTGTGTAAATACAAAGGAAAATGTGTGTAAGTACAGAGAAAAATGTGTTTAAGTCCAGAGGAAAATGTGTGTAAATACAATGGAAAATGTGTATAAGTACAGCAAAAAATGTGTGTAAATCCAGAGGAAAATGTGTGTAAGTACAAAGGAAAATGTATGTAAGTCCAGAGAAAAATGTGTGTAAATCCAGAGGAAAATATGTGTAAATACAAAGGAAAATGTGTGTAAGTACAGAGAAAAATGTGTTTAAGTCCAGAGGAAAATGTGTGTAAATACAAAGGAAAATGTGTGTAAATACAAAGGAAATTGTGTGTAAGTACAGAAAAAAATGTGTGTAAATGCAGAGGAAAATGTGTGTAAGTACAAAGGAAAATATGTGCACCAATCCAGAGGAAAATGTGTGTAAATACAAAGGAAAATGTGTGTAAGTGCAGCAAAAAATGTGTATAAATCCCGAGGAAACTGTGTGTAAATACAAAGGAAAATGTATGTAAGTACAGAGAAAAATGTGTGTAAAACCAGAGGAAAATGTGTGTAAATACAAAGGAAAATGTGTGTAAATACAAAAGAAAATGTGTGTAAATACAAAGGAAATGTGTGTAAATACAAAGGAAATTGTGTGTAAGTACAGAGAAAAATGTGTGTAAATCCAGAGGAAAATGTGTGTAAATAGGAAAGAAAATGTGTGTAAATACAAAGGAAAATGTGTGTAAGTACAGAAAAAAAAGTGTGTAAATCCAGAGGAAAATGTGTGTAAGTACAAAGGAAAATGTGTGTAAGTCCAGAGAAAAATGTGCGCCAATCCAGAGGAAAAGGTGTGTAGGTACAGCAAAAAATATGTGTAAATCCAGAGGAAAACATGAATAAATATCACTCATTTAGAAGGTTCCAAATTCACCCTCCTGTGAAAGGCTGTGCTAAGGGAAGTTGGGAGGGTGGGAATAGCGAATCCACACCAAGGATGAAGCTGTGGGATCAGCTGCACCCCAGAGCTGCTGGGAGAGGAGGGAACAGTCCAGGGGCTGCTCATCCCTCATTTCCTGGAGCTAACAACCCTGCCAGCATGGGGATGGGAAGAGGAAACAACTCCTGGTGCAAAATAATTGGACATGAGGTGTCATGGGCAGGCTTAAAATCCAACAACCCGGAGGTCTTGCCTCAATCTGGGACGTGTGCTTCTCGTAATAAGCCAAAGGATCCTCTTCTTCCTCCTGCACCGGAGCCGTCGACTTCAGCATCTGCGACAGCTGCTTGTTGTTGAGGCTGAGCTGGATGGGGAGAAGGAGAGGATGAAAATCCAGCCAGGAGCTGGATCTGGCTGTTCCCACAACGTGCCTCGACATCTCCCACGGCTGATGAGGTTTTCAGGGAAAAGCAAATGAATTAAAGCTTCCATAAGGGGTGCGAGCGCTCCCCGCGGTGACAGACAATCGATTCGCGGCAATAATTACATCCAAGTGCTGCTAATCCACAAATTACAAACCGGTGCTCACAAAACCCCGGGGAAATCACGTTCCCTGCCGAATCTTGTCGGGATCTGAGGTACACGAGCAGGGAAAGGCAGCAAAGGGAGGGCTCAACCTTTCATTTCTGAAGGGAAGAAATGGGGAAGGGCAGAACCTCCCCAGGACCACAACACGGCACAGCCTTAGGGCTTGTGGGTCATTTATGGGTCTAAAAAGGCATTTGTGGGTATTTCTCTCATTAATCCCCTTGGGAACACCAAAATCCATCAAATCCCAAACAACAAAGCCCAGGTGGGCTCAGAAAAACTGGGAAATTTTGCAGCCTCWGGTCAGGGGGGCTTTGCCTCCACCCCAAAGGTGTTTCCATACCATGGATGAGATTCCCTCCTCCTCCTCCTCCTGGATTCGCTTCACCGGCTTCAGGAGCTGCTGCAGGGACTTGTTGTGTCGGGAGAGCTGGAAAGGGGACAGGGAGGGTGACAGTGAGCTCMGGATGGCAGTGGGACATGGGGGACAGGGTGGCCAGAGAGCCACGGCTCTTCCCCACAGCCAAAGGCACGTCTGGCTGCAGGAAATGTGTGTAAATATAGAGAAAAATGTGTGTAAAGAGAGAGAAAGGTGTGTGTAAATCCAGAGAAAAATGTGTGTAAAGACAGAGAAAAATGTGTTTAAATACAATGAAAAATGTGTTAAATCCAGAGGAAAGTGTGTGGAAAGACAGAGGAAAATGTGTGTAAATCCCGAGGAAAGTGTGTGTAAATCCAAAAGAAAGTGTGTGTAAATCCCAAAGAAAGTGTGTGTAAATCCAGAGAAAAATGTGTGTAAATCCAGAGAAAAATGTGTGTAAATCCAGAGAAAAATGCGCGCAAATACAGAGGAAAATGTGTGTAAATATGGAGAAATATGTGCATAAATATGGAGGAAAATATTCGTAAATACAGAGAAAAATATGCGTAACTATGGAGAAAAATGCGTGTGAATATGGGGAAAAATGTGCATAAGTACAGCTAAAAAATGTGTGTAAATCCAGAGAAAAATGTGCATAAATACAGCAAAAAATATGTGTAAATACAGAGAAGAATGTGAGTAAATCCAGAGAAATATATATATATATAAATCCAGAGAAAAATGTGTGTAAATCCAGAGGAAAATGTGTGTAAATCCAGAGAAAGGTGTGTGTAAATCCAGAGAAAAATAAGTGTAAAAAGAGAGAAAACTGTGCATAAATACAGAGAAACGTGTGTGTAAATCCAGAGAAAAATGTGTGTAAATCCAGAGAAAAATGTGTGCAAACACAGAGGAAAATGTGTATAAATATGGAGAAAAATGTGCATAAATATGGAGGAAAATATTCGTAAATACAGAGGAAAATATGTGTAACAACAGAGAAAAATGCGTGTAAATATGGGGAAAAATGTGCATAAGTACAGCWAAAAAATGTGTGTAAATCCAGAGAAAAATGTGCATAAATACAGCAAAAAATACGTGCAAATACAGAGAAGAATGTGAGTAAATCCAGAGAAAAATRYRTRTAAATCCAGAGAAAAATGTGTGTAAATCCAGAGGAAAATGTATGTAAATACAGAGAAAGGTGTGTGTAAATACAGGGAAAAATAAGTGTAAAAAGAGAGAAAACTGTGCATAAATACAGAGAAACGTGTGTGTAAATCCAGAGAAAAATGTGTGCAAATCCAGAGAAAAATGTGTGTAAATCCAGAGAAAAATGTGCGCAAAAACAGAGGAAAATGTGTATAAATATGGAGAAAAATGTGCATAAATATGGAGAAAAATATTCATAAATACAGAGAAAAATGCGTGTAAATATGGGGAAAAATGTGCATAAATACAGCAAAAAATACGTGCAAATACAGAGAAGAATGTGAGTAAATCCAGAGAAAAATGTGTGTAAATCCAGAGAAAAATGCCCAATGTGTGAGTGTGGCCTGGCACAGCCCTGCTCTCACAGCTCCCTACCTGCAGCGCCAGGATGTAAATGTTGTGCCCGACTTCYCGGGGTGAAACCTCGGCGTTCTCACACTCCTCCTCCTGCAGATAAGCCTTCTTGATCACATCCACCTGCAAGGCAGAGCGGGGTGCCTCAGTTTCCTCCTCCTGCTGAGATTTGGGGAACCCTCGAGCAGAAGCGCCAGGACCTCGAGGTGGTTTTTGGGTGCTGGAGCTGCAGCAGGACTGAGCAGAGGAAACTCAGCCATGGGGGTGATGCCTTAGGATTTTTAGTTTCTRTATTTTCAAGAAATATAGAATATTTCAAGAGTATTTCTGTGTTCTTGTACTTCTCTAGTACAGCACTAAAGCTGTTCTCCCATTTTCAGACAATTCCCCTCTGAGCGTGAAATCCAAGGACACTTTGCTATCTCAGAGCCCCAAAATATGGAAACAATGGAGAATTGAGGGGAGCAAGTTTGGGGTGGTTGACATCACCACCTGAAGGTGTCATTGGAGAATTGGGGCTGAATATGTTCATAAGAACTTATAAAAGGGGAAGATCTCATAACTCAGGGTTCATTTTGGGTGCAGCCTCATGAGGAGGCTTTGTCTGCCCTCAATGCACCAGCAGGCCTGGATTAAATGAATCTTTTTATTCTGTTAATTTTGCCTGGCCTCTGTTTCAGGTGACACCAAGCCATCATGTTTCAGGCACTGGGGGCTGAGTGGGACGTTCCCGTTCCCTCACCAGTTCCTGGGGTCGGAGGCTGATGAGGATGCGCTCGGCGTTCTCGCTGTCGTGCCTGCTCTCCATCAGGGCCAGCAGCAGCTTGGAGGCGTTGTCCTGGGGGGAGAAATGTTCAGTCAGGGCAGCTGTGCCCTGTCCCTGTCCCTGTCCAGGGCTTTGGAGGGGTCACAGCTCCCCTGTGCCACCCCCCTGAGTGTCCCCAGCCCCGTCCCTGTGAGCCCACAGGGCCACCACACCCAAGGGTCTGACATGGACAGGGTCACCTCTGCAGTGACCACCCTGCCCCACAGCACAGCCTGAGAGCCTGCCAGTGACACACAGTGACAGTGCCACACAGTGACAGTGCCACATGCAGCGACAGTGCCACACACAGTGACACACAGAGTGACATAGTGACACACGTAGTGACACATGCAGCAACACACATGCAGTGACATACAATGATGCAGTGACACACGCAGTGACATGGAGCAACACACAGGGACATACAGTGGCAAAGTGACACATGCAGTGACACACAGTGACACGGACACACAGGGACAGTGACCCAGTGACACACGCAGTGACACAGAGGGACATGCAGTGACAAAGTGATACAGTGACACATAGCGACACACAGTGACCCAGTGAGACATACTGACACACGCAGTGACAAAGTGACACACAGAGTGACACGCAGAGTGACATACAGTAACCCAGTGGCACACAATGACACACACAGTGACACACAGGAACATGCAGTGACAAAGTGACACATGCAGTGACACACAGTGACACACAGTGACCCAGTGACACACAGTGACACACGCAGTGACAAAGTGACACATGCAGTGACACACAGAGTGACACGGACACATGCAGGGACAGTGACACATGCAGTGACACACAGAGTGACATACAGTAACCCAGTGACACACAATGACACATGCAGTGACACACAGGGACATGCAGTGACAAAGTGACACACAGGGACATGCAGTGACCCAGTGACACACAGTGACACATGCAGTGACACACAGTGACCCAGTGACACACAGTGACACATACAGTGACACACAGTGACCCAGTGACACACAGGGACATGCAGTGACATACAGTAACCCAGTGGCACACAATGACACACACAATGACGCACACAATGACACACAGGAACATTTGACGCACACAATGACACACATGCAGTGACAAAATGACACATGCAGTGACACGCAGTGACACACAGTGACCCAGTGACACACAGTGACACATGCAGTGACACACAGTGACACACGCAGTGACACACACAGCGACATTTGCAGTGATATGTGCAGTGCAACTCGCGGCAACAGTGACACACGCAACGACACACACAGCGCCACACGCAGTGACACACACAGTGACACAGAGTGACACACAGTGACACAGTGACACCCAGCCATGTCCCCCAGCGCACCTTGAGCTGCAGCACCAGGTCCATGCGGTACTTGCACAGGGGGCTGATGTCGTTGAGGATCAGTGCCGTGATGATGTCGATCCCGTTGGACTCGTGGGTCACGATGCAGCTCTGGGGGGGTCGGGCAGTGTGTCACCCCACAGATCCCGCCTGTCCTCGCAGCCTCCAGCACGGCCCAGCTTCCAAACACTGCCCTGTCCCCAGCCCCGGACCCCCAATCCTCCCCTCTCCCCACACAGGGCCCTTCAKCTGYACCACAGAAAATACATTTTKGATATCAGRAAAAGGTTTTTTWMSGGRA